GGACTGTGGGGAAAAAGGTGTATGTATGTATGTACTGTATGCTATATTGTATACGACTGGCAGCTCAGCAGCGACACGTCACTTCCCCCAAATAAGTGAGTAATGTGTTGCACCATGACTTTACAATGGCTACGACATCACTACACCATAGGAATTTTTCAGCTCCATTATAATCTTATTAGAGGCCTGGTGCACGATTCATGCACCTATGGGGTCCCTTAGACTGGCCTGCACCCTCTTGCAATCCAGGACCCCTCGGGGGGTGTTGGACTGCTGGTTTTGGTCCAATCCCTGCAGGCCAAGCTGAGGGACCCCACTGGTGCATGAATCCATGCACCGGCCTCTAGTACTCATATAAGATCTTTGATTAATCTCTTCCCGCCCTCTCCCTTCCCCACTTCCCTCTGAGATTCATCAGTCTGTTCCATGTTTCCATGCCTGTGCGTTGAGCATCATAACTACCGATCAAACAGTCGAACGGTTGCTTAGGCTTTTATATGTTAATGTAAAAAAACAAAACATTAAAACCTGTAAAGAATTTTTGTGAGTTTATTTGAGCCAAACTGTCGACATATGCCGGGGAGCAGAACCTCAACAAATTGAGATAATGCTCTGGAGAATGACAGGTTACATTTGTATTTATACATTTGCAATCAAAGGAGGGATGTAGGTGGGTTACATGAAATTCATTGGTGATATATTAAGGAGGAGGGATAAAGCAAAGCAGGGGAAACCCCTGGGATTGGATAAAAAGTAAAATGATGGACACATACTTAGGTGGGTGCAGGATCAATTGACATGATAATGAAGGAATTTGTGGTATCTGTCCTGGAGCCCAGCACATTTGGTTGTGCCCCAGGGGCTCCAGCAAAAGGGAAGTTACAAGTTACCCAGACATTTCAAGGGTATGTTATCATAGATGCAAAAAGACAGATAGACTCAGTTAAGGTAAAGGCTGACCTTGTCAGTGAAGATACTGGCCTAGGACATAACTGCCCACCATAACTGCTTTTAAAGTTTAATTTCAGACCATCCTTTGTGGTTACTTTAGGTCAAGACTGCCATGCAGGCCTCCCCTGAGCTTGTCAGGTCAGCATGTGGCTCCTTTCATCCACATATATATACTAGTAGCCCGGTGCACAAAAATTTGTGCACTCGGGGAGGGGGGGGTGTCCCTCAGTTATTAAACATTTATTGGCACAACACTGACCACATTGGTGGTGGTGGTCGTCTTGTCAGAATGTGTTATATTATGCAGATGCAAATCTATTTAAACAGATTTGATGTAGATATTTTCAAAGATG